CCCCCCCCTCACTCACGCACGCACATACGTGTTGGCGGAGGGAACCGGGCCCGGGCCCGTCTGTCCGCCCGCGCCGCGCTCCTGCCCCCGGGCCGTTGGCCGCTTCTAACTACAGCTTCGAACGCTGGGGCCGCCCCCCCCAACCCCCCTCACGGTCTGGGCCCCCGTGACGTCACGGCGCCGGCGGTTGCGGCCGTTGGTTTGAGGAGTGGGGTCCAGGGCGTTGCGGGGGTGACTAGGGATGAGGGGGGTGCCCGGCCGGGCTGTGTTGGAGGAGCCTAGGCCAAGCAGCAGGCCCCAGAGCCCGTTTGTGAGGAGCCGTAGCAACATGACCCTTTGCAGATGTCACAGCTAGCCTGGTGGGCCACATAACGGAAGCTATTCATCCTCATGTCTTGTCTAAACTCAGCCAAACAAAGCACGAGGCCGCAGAGGGGACATGATAAAGGAGGAGCATGCATTAAATATTATCTACACACACCATGCCCTGGCCGTTTGGTTCCATCCATCGCTGCTTACTACTGTTTTAAGATCTTTATTTTAAAATAGCAGTAGTAGCAATTGACATAGCAAAATAACATCTAATACATTTGGTTATAATTTATTTTTAAGGTGTTTCAGTCATTTGTAAAAAGAAGAATGGCTCTATCGGAGAAGACCAAGGATATAAGTCCCAGCTGTTTGACACCTTCCAAGTCCACGAGAGCTGGGTTCAGTCCAGTTCCCAAAGTGTCAGTGCAACAAAAACATTTAAATTAGCGCAATCAGAGGTCATTTATTAAAATATTAGAATCGGCTCTCTCTAAATATTGGGCGTAGGCTGGAAGGGAATTTGGAGAGCTGAGAACATTCAAGAAGACTGTCTGCCAACCTCCATGTCCCCTTCCTCTCTCCTTTCATGTCCCCCCAGCCAGTATAGGTGAGAGTCTATGTTGTGCTGTCACAAGTAGGCAAATAGACTGTGGGATAAATGTTTGTTTTTGTTTTAAAGTGCAAGCAATAAAATGTTGGGCTGTAGATCTGTTTCTGCCTCTCTTATCAGTAGCCTACCCACAAGGTTACCTGTAATCTGGATAGCAGGGACAGTGACTAGGGATCGCCACTCAGTTATTCCCCTGTGTCTTTCTGAGGCCCATGAGTGGGGTTTGTATTTGTGTGAATGAATCTTCAGTCTCTCCCCTGCACCTGACCACCATGGGATTATTTTTTCATGTGTCCCAGCCCTGCCACTTCCAGGGACTAGCAACCAGTAATGGAGTAGGAATGTGTTGCAGACGCTGGACACAATATTTTCGGTCTCTTTTCTCTCCCCCCCCCCCCCTTTTTTTTTTTTTTGCTGACTTTGCAGGGCTACTCAAAGCGCAAAGGGAACACATGTCTTTCGCATCACCTTTATAAGGAAGATGCAACTTACCTTTCACTCCCTGCACTTTTACCTTCAGGCAGTTTCTTTGACTTTGTCGTGGTTTGAGTTGTCCTAGTTTGATTTCTTAACAAGCAGGGTCTATTTGGGGCTGAGTTAAAAGTACTCCTGAAGATGCAGAAGCAAAATGAGAAAACATCCTTAGTTTTACACAGATCAAAGATGTTTCCATTTTGGTTTTCTGAGACACTCACTTAGATGGGCTGCTGCACCCTGTTTATTGACGTCTTTTCCTTCTGTTTAGGCAAAGGAGGTAAAAACAGACGACGAGGTAAGAATGAGAATGAATCGGAAAAAAGGGAATTGGTGTTCAAGGAAGATGGACAAGGTGAGATTCTGCTCGAGTCGTAAATGTTTTCAGTCTCAGGCTATAGGTGTCGTACAATGAAAGTTCCTACACGTGGTAGATTGGGTGTTTCCACAGTTCATTTGGATGAGTCGGAGAACCACAACATTATTTTGGGTGCACAGGAAATGAATGTTCCAGTTTTTAGGCTAGGTGTAAATGTTAGTATTGGTGTGCTGGTGGAAGCAGCATCCAGCCACCTTGGGCCAGAGGTACCATGCTGCTAAAGAGTCCTTGGAACTCCGAGGTAAGGAGGGGAGGAACTCAATTAGGTTTTGAAGTAACAAGTAGTACATTGGAGCACTTTATATATAGTAATCTGATCTGTTTGGCTATTTGTGACTCGAAAAGGGTAAGTATTTATTGCTTGGGTACATCAGGAGCAACATCGAATGTAGTGCCGGAGCTACTTACTAGACAGGGGGAGACAACTGTGGAAGCTGAGAGAAATGGATGTAAAAATTCTTTTCATAATCCAAGAGATGCTCAAAAGTACTGATGCTCTGCTGTACTGGAGAAAGGGGTAACATGACAGCAGAGCCCAGTCAGAGGATGGGCAGAGGGGCATGCTCAGACTTATCAGTTGAAAACTGGTGTATGCAAACTCTTTTCACTGGGGTCCAGCATCAACACCCTTCTAAGTACAGAAATTTCCCTGAAGATAGCATTTGGTGTATGTGAAAAGATTATAAGGAAATGATGCTGTGCAGGTGGCATTTTCTGTCCCCTGATAACCTGCTTGACTTTTATCAACTCGGGTAGAAATGGTAGTGGTGGATCAGTCTTTGCAAATTGTCCACACGGGGTGACAATAATATATGCCTCTGTATAATTAAAATAATTTGGGGAAAATGAAGCATAAATATAATAAGGGGTAAGCATTACTGGAAAAATGCTATGAAGTTGCCCTCTGATAGCTTGGATTATGGCTGTTCTGGGCTCATGTTAGATCTTGACATTTTATATTTCCACAAAATTGAAAAGGTGAAAACAAAATAATTCTCTTTATGGTCACTTTTTTTGGAGGCCGTCTACACTATGGAAATTGCTTAACAATATAATGAAATAAAATGTTGCCTGTTTTTATACAATTACCTTGTAGTAATAATTTGAAGATTTTGGGTGATCTCTTACAGAGTATGCTCAGGTGATCAAGATGTTAGGAAATGGAAGATTGGAGGCATTATGTTTTGATGGTGTAAAGAGGTTATGTCATATCAGAGGAAAGTTGAGAAAAAAGGTAAGTCCATATCACTTAACTAGAAAATAAAATGAGTGTCCATTGTGCTTGGTATGTAATCATAAGAAAATCTATGTGGCTACAACTACAACTGCACTTCAAAATGAAAGAATACAGTTAAGTAAAAAAATATTCCTTCAGTTAGGTTTTTTACAGTTTAGTTTATTAGACTCTTTTTTTTGTCCTGGACAAGAGATCCATATAGTAAGTATGTTTTAAAACATACTTGTAGCTGTTTAATTTTCTGGTTCTTTAATGCTGCGTCAGTTTCAAGGGAAGTGTTTTTGCTTATTAAAAGCTTTACATTTTATTTTGTATAAATATCTCTAAGATGGTACTACCACTATAGTGAAGGTTGAGGCTTGTGTTTACTCTGCATTAGAAGCATTTGTTTTGCTTCCATCCCACAGCCTTTCTGAAGTGGCATAATACTCTGCACTATTAGTAGTCTCTCTCTCCCTCTCCCTCCCCCCCACCACAAGTGGATTTGGACTTCAGCTGGCTGCCACAGTCCACTCAAAATCTTGTGTTGTCCTAGAGCACATGCCACATTGTAGCAGTACAGCTGCTGATCTGAGCCAGCCTGGACTGGCAGAAGCATGCAGATGTGCATATTATCTTGCTTGGCAGTTGTGGCTGCTCTCAGCACAGATATAACCTTGCTTCATGTTTAAGTGCACTAAAATCTGCATGCTTACAAAGGTTATCTTGCAAAATAGCTGTACTCTTTGGGAACTAGGTAGGCAGCCCCCAAACCATCCAGCTTCAACAGCACTCCAAATTAAGTCTTTTAAACAAGGAGTTTCTAAAGTACTATCCTTGATATTGACATGGAAATTGTCTGCATCTGGGCTCATATCTTGGCTTTGATTGGTTCAGTTTTTTTGGTCTGGTTAAGACTGGTCAGTCTTGCAGCTTAATGCTTTACAGTAAAGTAAAAGTTAAGTCTCTTATGGCTCAAGCAAATTTGAGCAATAAGGAAAACCCATTTCCACTTGTAAGGACCAGTTATAGTGAAATGAATTTTTTGTAGGTAGCCTCTTGTCAGAATAGCTGAACTATATCTCACAAAACTGTTATTGAATCCAAGCAGTTCAGATGCACTCTGAAATTGTGTGCTGCTGTTAAGAACTTTCTGGGGATGTGTTGGGCTCATGAATTTCTGCCTGCTTATATTCTGCAAGAGCTCCTTTTGGAAGCTTTGTCCTGGGAACTAAAATTCTGGTTTAAGACTACTTGCTCTAAATTATAACATGGATTTTACTGTACAAATATTATTGAGGGTGATGGATTTTGTGCAAAAGGAAGATTTGTGTGATGTGCTCCCCACTTTCCAGAGCAGTGAAACTAGATGTGATCAATGGAAATGAGGCAACCACCACTTGCATGTCATCATTATCAACAGGGTTGCTAAATATTAGAACAGGCTCCATAATAAAGAAACCAGTTTCAAGGAGTGGCTACTGCTGCTTCAGTTCTACCTTGCTATCCACAAATAGTGAGAACTTGGGATTCTTTCCAGGCTTTAAGGTTCTTGTTTGACAGCCAGGCTTGCAAAGCCACATTACAGAGGCAGGAGATGAATTTATATTTTATTGGCAAGGGGTATGATCCATAGGTCATATTATATATTTCAGTTCACTAACATTCGCACAAAATTCAGTTCCCTGAGTTCTTCTAGTATGTGTTCTATTTTGGAAAAATTCATTTAAGCCAGGAGAGAGAGACATCCTACCACATGGGTTCAAGCCAATGTCTCTCTACCAGGTGCCTCTGTTGTTGATCTCTACCCTATCTGCAAGTGACCCACTATTTGCTTCTCTTCCTGTTATGGTGCCAACATCCAGTCTAGACAATACATTACAGGGTGACAGTAGATACTAGGATTCCAATAAATATAATTCCTGAGCATTTATGCAGTGTAAGTGTATTCACACAAATTAATGCACGTTAATTTGAGTTGCAGTAGTATAGGGGGCCTTGAGTTAACAGTTCCCTCACCTTAATAAGGCACTTTTGGTTTGGTTTTGTTTTTTTTGCTGACCTCCAAAACATCTGAGGCTACTGGAATAATGGAGAGGTGAATAATTGAACTTTTTTTTTTTTCTTTTCATCTAACATTCTCCAAATGGAAAGCACAAATCTATGTGGCTTTCAGAGCACAAAATAGTATCTTTAAAGCACAAAATCACTCCTCTTAATACTTTTGCTTAAATATATTCTTAAAATATCAGTATTGATAGGAATTACAAAAAAAATAACAGCTCTGAAATCAATAAGGACTTGACATGCTTAATGTATATTTTACTAATTAACATGAAGGCCTACCAGAAACAATCCAGTTCAGATTCCCAACTCCCTCTCCCCTTAAGTAGTTCATCCATTTTTTTTTTTTTTTTTTTTTTTTTCACTTGATCCTTTGTGGAATTTAAGCAATAGAATGATTGCTTGATGTTTAGATTTCTTCACCAAACTTCTATTTAGTAGCCACCCATCAGGTGAGAGCCCTTTTCAGTGCTTTTATTCATACTTTTTATATAGCTCTGTGATATGTTGGATTAACTTACTTCGACCAGCAGTGGGGGTCTTATGTTAATATTGAAACTAGCTGTCTAAATGTGAATATTCTTATGTTTATGCTGGTATTCTTCATTAGACATGGGAATACTGTGAAACTACTACTGTTAAACTGCTCATTCTCAGAAAGATGTGAATGTTTAGAATGGTTCAGCATTATTTTTCCTATTTTTGGATTTCAGGTTTGGATAAATACATCTGACATCATATTGGTTGGTTTGAGAGACTACCAGGTAAAAATTCTATGCGTTTACCACTGAACTGTTACAATTAATAGTGCACAGCATTCGTTAAATATTAGTAAATGTCTGCTAAAGAGCACTGAGTGGATTTCCATTTAATTGTACCAGAGTATACTTAAGTGTACCACACACAACATTTAATATATTTATTATGTCTTGTGTGGCACAGAAATTCCATCATAGATAGGCTATGACTTCTTCAATCCTCTATTCCTCTCTTCCTTATGTATGTGGCAGAGAATACTCAGCGGCATTGGGATGCTTCCTTTTTCAGCTTGCTGCTTTGTGTATAGCTTTTATGCCTTTCAGTGGCAAATAGACCATTTTAAGAAGACACATTCTCGGAGCTGCTACTGGACCAGCAGTTAGATGTATTCTTTGCATTGCACATGTTTGAATTCCTATTGTAACAATTTAAGTCTTGTAAAAAATAGATTTTCAGACTTACATGTTTACTGCGAAATTCTCAGTGAATTTTGTGGCCCACTGGATTATGAAAATAACATTACTATACAACATGGTTGTAGCAATCTATTGGGTGCTTTGGGTGACTGTATAATTAATTTTTAATGCCAGAAAGCTGTGCCTTTGACAGAAGACTTAAGAACGTGTCGTTGTGGATGTTGTATCTGGAGGGAGAAAAGAAGGAAGAGCAATTTAGAATGTTTAATCTTTAAATTTTCTTTTTTTTTTTTTAGAGATGGCCTGTGTAATAGGATCATGTCAGGATCTGATCTACTCAGTCTGATTTAGGTTGAATATGTTTAGATGCATTATTCTTCATTTAATTAATAAAAATGAAATGGGTTTCAGAAAGCATAAGTTTCTACTGTTCAAATAAGAGAGACCTTGCTAGCCTGTGAAATTATAGGAGGCAGAAACCTTTCTACAATGCTGAGTAATACATTTAAGCAACCTCTTACTTAGGATAACAAGGCTGATGTCATTCTAAAATATAATGCAGATGAAGCCAGAAGTCTGAAGGCATACGGAGAACTTCCAGAGCATGGTAAGAATCTTTCAAGATCACACTGAAAGACATGGGGAGTGAATGTACCCAACAGCCCTCTGACCTCTTTTTAAATGTATGCATCAACTCTCTCTTCCTAATTGTTACTTTAATGTCTTGCTTTTTAGCTAAAATCAATGAAACAGACACATTTGGTCCTGGTGATGATGATGAAATCCAGTTTGATGATATTGGAGATGATGATGAAGATATTGATGATGTAAGTAAAACATTGTAATGTTAAGCATGAGCTGCCCATCCCCTATGATATTCTCTGCTTTGATACTTAATCTGGGTAGTGTGATATGGTAAAACTTTGAAAGCTTTTAACCAAGGTAGATAATGATTCTTAAAGGCTGCCCAGCCTTTGATTAAAACAGGATTCACTCACTCTTTCGTCAGTTCCATGAAAAGGTATGTTAACAAAGACCTTCTGGTCTGTGGCCATGTAACAGTTTTATCTTAAGCATTCGTGCAGTTATTCCATACAGATTAATGTACTTTTAATTTTAAGCTCTAAGTAGAAAACATAACTTGCATATTTTCTATCACTTAAATTCTAAAAAGTCAGTTGTATTATGCCTTTTTATTTTTAGGTATTTAAAATATGAAGGTGCACTGTTTGCAAAATTGGTCCTATATAATCTAAGCTCTTGAACTGTTTGACCTTCCTTGCAAACCACTACATGGCATCTTAAATTAGAAAATTTGGAGGATGTCAAATGTAATTCTGACTTTTGCTAAAGACTTTTGCTTGAAAAAGAACTTTAGACCTATCAGAGGCTGGGGTTTAACATTTTAATAGGAAGAAACAAATTAAGTGTTAAATCTGATTGCTACAGTGTAGCTAACTTCAGCAATTAATTTTATTCCAGTAATGTTCACTGGTGACCTGTATTTATTCGTCACCTTAGAAATATCCAAATAAAAATATCTGAATTTCCAAATGCATACATGCTACAAAACAGTGTGCTGCATTTTTATAAACTAATGGAGCTGTGGTAAATGAAACTATTAATAGTACACCTAATACTGCTAAGCATTAATAATGCATTGTATCAGAAGCGAGGAAAGTGCTGCATCAGTCATCAAGAGTGGTAAGAAAACAAGGTTCCCTAGCAAGGCATCAGAGCAGAATTAAACCATACAAAGCAGCATGGCTGAAGCATTTTTACTTAATTCAGCAAGTCTGTAATAGGATTTAAATAGGTTCAAGTCCACAGTAAATGTGAGAAAGTTAGTGATTTCCACACTGGAACATGCTTATAAAGAACAATTAAAATAATTCCCTTTGCCAGTAACAGCTTAAACTGCTTATGGTTTGAATTAGAACTTTCCCTTAAATCCTGATTTTTCTTCTTTTTAATTTTTTGTTTGGTTAGTTGGTTTTTATTTTATTTGTTTCCTAGTCCTCAGGAAAGTCATAGTCCTTGTCTGGTTGTTTTCTAATGATGATGATTTGTTGAAACCCTTGCTTATTAACTTCTGTGCAGGGACATGGAACCTGATGATCAAGAGGGTGGTAAGGGGCAGTGGCTTATGTGCTAACAGCAGTAAGAGAAACTGAATATTAAAAAATAAAATCCCTTATGGAATGGGTTTATTGTGGATTTTCATTTTAAGCTAAGAAGTCGTTACAATGCATTTGAAGACAAACTTGTTTGCTTGTTTCATAAGGTCAGAACAATATTTCTCAACGTGGTGTTTCTCTGTTTTGTCTTTTGCAGATCTAAATTGGGCTAAGAGGTTTACATTCCAACTTTTTTCCTCCAAGGATTGTTCTACATTGATATTTTGATTTTTGGGTAAAGTCCCTTTCTTTTAAGAAGACTGAAACGTATCAATAATGAGTGTAGTTTGTTACATCAAATGGATTTATTTTCAATGTTTGTTTTAAAGTATTTATATTTCTTTAGAAATGGATAATGCTGGATTATCATAAAGGTTAAATAAAATGCCACAACTGCAGGCTCTTTGAAAAATAAGAGCTTGTTCCTCTGGGTGTAAGAAAGACACAGTTACATCTGCTGTAAAGGTCTTGCCTCTTCTGCTTTCATCACTACATTTCCAGTTAAACCTGAATTTTGAAATAAAAATTGTTTACCCTGTAATTATGGATTTTGATTAAATACCCAGCTCAGATTAGTGTCTAGGCATATTATGCAGTGTCTGGTCATATACCCCTTGCCTTGAAGCTACCTTGAAAAGACTTTGATAATATAAAAGAAAGGCAGAAATCTGCATTTAAATCCATAATGTATGGATCTGCTTTTCATGTTTTACTAGCATGCTGCTATTTTTATACTGATTTTTTGATAATTCAGCACTCATTATTTCAAAGATGTAAATTTGCCACAACGTGGGGAGGAATAAATGTAAAAAGCAAGCAGCATCTCAAATTTGCAGTTGTTTAAAACTGTCACATTTTAATCACTCTTCTGTATTTGTAAGTACAGTAGTTACACCGTAGTTGCAGAAGCTAAACACTGGGTGACATTCGATTTTAGCAGTGATTATATTGATACAAAATATTAACAGTTTAACAGCTAATGGAGGGGTTTTTTTGTATTGAAACATACATAAAATACTTTTTCCTTGACCCAGATAAATGCCACACGTCCTTGGTTTGTTAAACATTATATATATAATATTTTTACATTATAAAAAGGTTATGTTAAAAGTAAAGTTTTATTTTGATCTTAAGTTCCATACATTGTAAGGTGTGGATCACATTAAAGTGTGTAAACATTGAATAACTGAATATAAATTGAAAAATTAAAATCTTTTTATCCAGAACTAATGAGACAAACTAGTGGAAAGCTTATCTCCAGCTTCTGAATGGAGGAGTTACAGCTAAGAAGTTGAATAAAGACTAACATCATCATGCAAATATTTTCATGTAGTAGCCTTAGTTTGTGTCTCTTTAATTATGTATTTTGAATTTGACATTTCTGAAGACAAGATAACATGGAGAATTTAACTCTTTATTTTGTGCCATATAAATTTGATTCTTGACACTTGTATTCATTATACAGTCTATTAGGTTGATGTAAAGTGACTATCGCAATAGAGAAAACAAGCTTAAAACATGAAGAGTTGGTCTCGTTGTTTTAAACAGTCATTTTGAAAGTGGTTGAATATTCAGACCAAACTTTCCTGGAGTAGGGGGTTGGCAAGCTATAGCAGGTGGGCCAGATCCTGCCCGCAGAGCCATTTGATCTGGCCCGCAGGTGTGGGGCTTCAGTTGTGTTTCTTGGCAAGGGGCTCCAGCAGAAGTCACTTTTCCCTCACTTTTCCCTACCACCATGGGGAAAAGCACTGGCTCCAAGTGCTTTCCCCATGCTGCTGCAAGGAAAAGTGGTAGCAGCTGCTGGGCCCTAGCACACACCTTCTAACCTAAACTGAATTGACTCTAACCCACAGCCTAAAGGTTTTCCAAGTGTTGTCTGAGTGTTTAGCCAAAGTATCATACTTTCCTCCCCAATGTCCAGTGCATTCTAGATTTCTAGTATCTCTTTGCTGAAGTGGTCTCTTACTTCAGAGGAAATGAATGTTTCTTCAGTATACATTTTTTTCTCTGCAAAATTTATTTCATGTTCTACACAAATGTATAGAGAAACTTACAACTTCTGAGATTTGGAAACAGGCATGCATTGTTTACAAACTTCCTGCTCTGTTCGGCTGTGCTGTGTATTCACTTGTAGGCTGCAGGATCTGATTTATGAATTAAATTTCATAGGCTCTCTAGTAGGTTTTTTTAAAACCATTTCCCTCTTTAAACCACTTCCCTTGAGTGCCTAAGGAACCTTGAGAAGCCGTAAAGATGACTGGCCTTAAAATTTGGCCAGAAGGATGATGCTGAAAGCTCATACTACATGAGTCCTGTGTTTGCCTGGGCTGTGCGTTTTTTGTTTTGTTTTGGGTTTTTTTTCATAACAACTGATGATGAATTTGCTGGATTGTGCAACCATTAAAATGTTGGTATTAATATTAGAGAAGATGGATTAAATCTTCCATTTGTGCATTTAACTGAAGAGGCCAAGCATATTTTGAAATGTGTACATTTTGCACAAGTGTGTCATGATATTGTCTGCTGCTTTAGTTCAGCATATTAGCTATCTTCCACTAAATAAAATAGAAGCTTTTCTTCATGAGGATGAACAGAGAAGTTTGTGCACAGCATGGGTAATCCTTCTCAGGACCATTCTTATTTCACAGCATACAACATGGCAAGCAAATGCAGAAAAAAGCATGGTTAGTTTCTGTCTCTGCTAGCTTATGTCACCTGTGCAGTTTTGCTCCCCCAATCTTCAACCAATCCCAGGTATGCACAATGCACCAGAGTTCATGAGACCTATCCAGCAAGTTGAGTTATCCGGTCATACCTACTGGCAATAATCATGGTCAAGTCGTATGATTACCCTGAGTAGACAAACAGCTAATTTGTAGATTTATCTACTGAGGAAGATTTGAACCTTAAGCATACAATAGAGAGGTTTATTCAGGTCTCAGTTTAGTCTAGGGCAGTGTTCCTTATGTCTAGAAAAAGGGCACAGTAAAGAAAAAAGTATTTTCTGCAATGCCACTGCCAGATGTGTGGGGGAGAATGTAATTACACCTGTAAGTTTGAGGCCTACTTCCAATAAGGAGTTGATTGATTTTTATTCTGAATGATTCTCAGCTTTGATGCCCTACCAACTTCTTCAGCCATTAACTTTTCTGTTCCTTCTGAGAAGCACTCTAGCCTTTATGACTTCTTTACAGCACAGAAGGGATAATTCTTTGTATCGCTTCTCTACAAGGCGGTCCTCAATTATTTACAAGAAGTAAAATGGTACTTCAAGGCTGTAATTGGTTTCCTTTGTGCCCTTAAAGAACCAGTGCTTAGACTTTCAGTACTCCTTGCTCCCTCAGACTTTTGTGCATAGGATCTGATATTGCAGGGATCTTAACCAACTGGAAGCATCTCTGCATGTGGGCTGGCTCTGGAGTTTGTGGTCAGAAACGCATATTACCGATTCAGAATACTGTTTTGGTGATTACCAGCAATCCCAAAAAGTTCCACAGTGTCTGCTTGCAGTGGTAGCATATCTTGGGAAATAGGACATCACAGCATACCCATATCTTAGTGTTTGGTACAGGGAAATTCAAGTCTGGTAAAGCACATGCAGCATTCAGTAAATTTTACTGTTGTCCTTGAGCTTGAAGATAAGACCAAGTCTCACATGACTATAACTCAAAAATGGAATTTATCATATCCCTCATGCATTGTACTGTGCTGAAGGCTTGACAGCCCACCTTTGCATGATGCTGTCACTCAATCTTCCAGCCCTGGAGGTCAAATGAGTGGGATCTGCAGAGCAGAGTCCATGTGCAGGGTATGATCCAGCATGCTGTATCCAGATGTGCATAGCAGTCCCGTCTCACGTGCAACCTAGCCCTGGGTTTGGCTGCATGCTGGTCTGATCCTGCACCCCAGATCCAGCCTGACCCTGTATGCCAGATCCAGTTGTGGAGTGACTACACATACTGGTCCCCAGTGTATCCTGGCCATGTCATCCAGCCCAGGGGACTCCCCACAGGTCTGGAAATCTGGCAACAGCAGAGCAGCAATTAATGCTGCCACCATTCCCCCACTGCCAAATTTCTGGACCCAGGGCTGGATGACATGACCACCAGTGACTTGGCATAGGGTCTTCTAATAGTGAGGAAAAATGTGTATTTCTTGAGATATGTTGCCTTATGAATGTATTGCCATTGTGCAGTCCAATGTAAAACTACCTTCATGAGACTCAGTGATGCCTGCTTTCCATCTCTGAATAAATATGCAAATTCAAATCCAAGACAATCTAGCATCAGTCAACAGTTAAGAAGAACCAAAAACAGGTACGTGAAGGTGTTTCTTTTTCTTTGCTTCCTATACAGTTCACATCAAGTGTTGCTTCATTGATGGTGAGAAGTACATTTACCAGTTTGGTAGTTCAAAGAGGAGACATTTTAGAGACCAGGACAGTTCACTTGAGTTACACAAATTTTCTTACTCCTGTCATGCAATTAATGATAGCCAATGTAATATTTTATGTGAGCAAGGAGATTCCAGAACAACCCAGTTATGCAGTGAAGCCATTGTCCTATAGATTTGGCATGCATGCAAATTTCAGTAATTCATCTGGCAGGTTTTTGTAACAGTGACAAACCACTTGGCCATTTCCCTGGGAGCCATTAATGGTCTCTGAAGGACTCTTTTATCAGGTCAGTGTTTGAGCAATGTGGTATTTCCTATACTGATCTGTTTACAACCATAAAGCCACACCAGCTATAACAAGAAAACAAAACCTTCAACTCTAGGATGGAAATAAAACCCCAGTTCAAAGGCGGATGTCCTTCTGATTCTCTACTACAACATTCTGCTGGCATATCTCTGTTGGGTAGAAATGTGGGGGAAAAATCATGCTCCTTAATGTAGCTAGGCCAACAGTCCTTGGCTAGACGCTGCCATACCAGTTAAAAAACTCCACTGGCATATAGGGCATCTCCACTAGGGGTCTCCAGTAATGTAGCTATGTGGCATAGCTGCTGTTAGCAAAGCTCTGCAATGTTGCTGCAGCCTTTTATTCCAGACTTGAGAAACCTAGCCACATGTCCTCTCATATCTCTCTTTCCTGGACTTGATCAGTCAGGACAATAGGAGAATTCTTTAACTTGACTCTATGCCTTTTCATTTCACATCATGGGAACTGTCTGACCTATTTGGAAAAGGCTTCCTCTCCTAATGTGCAAAAATTTTAATTTAAAAAAGGAATGTTAGAGCTGCATACAATACTGACCAGAAGTGCTTTCCATTTTAGTCATCTCAGCAGAGTCTATCACTAGTAAAGATGGAGATGCCTCAAATACATAAAGACCTCAAGACTCATTTAGTCCATTTTGCTTGCATTTGGTATCCAGTTTTTCTCTACCAATTCTAGACCATGTAGTTTTCCCTTACCCATGAACTATCAGGTTTCTTAAGGGGCTTTGGTAGGTATTTCATCCTACCTGAGAATCATTGTCATCATGGAATCAACATTTTTTCTGTTTATAGGCTGACAATTTGATTTCCTACTTATGTCTTCTATCAGTGTAGATAACATTTGCTGTGACATTTCTTTCAGTGCACAAAGTCAGTAAACTTCAAGCTCCTATGGAAGGCCACAATATTACTACTGTTCATTAGGATAACTTTATGTTTAAATTAAGCAAAAAACCCTCCAAAGCTACATACATTAAAAACTAGGAGTGAGATTTAGATACAGAACTCTCAGAAGTGGAGATTGAAACAAACACACACATTCTGCCTCCTCCTCTTTGGCAATAAGAAAGTCTGGTCAAATTACTGCACTGGATGAGGGCGGAGGAAGCCTTGGACCACTAAACCAAGCGACACCCACAAGAACAGCCCCGCCTAGACCGACGATGAGCAGAATGAATACCCAAGTAAGCAACAGGGGCCTGGGCAGTACTCAGATTAGGGGGCAGTGCACACATCTTCAGGAGGCCTCAAATGCCTCTACACAAATGCTACAGTATGGGGAACAAGCAGGAAGAACTTACCCTCCTGCTAGATGACACCAAGCCAGCCATAGTGGGGCTCACAGAAACACGGTGGAACACAACGCACGACTGGGCGGTGAATATCAAGGGTTATAGGCTGTACAGGAGGGACAGGACAGGGAGGAAAGGTGGGGGTGTGGCGCTCTACATCAAGGAGGAATACACATCCTCATCAAGTAACACAAGGTCAGAGGAGGGGCACACTGAAGTGCTCTGGGTTAGAACACAAGGAAGTCGAGGGGAAAGGGACTTAACGGTGGGGGTCTACTACAGACCACCCAACCAAGGGGAAGAGCTAGACCAGGAATTCTTAAGTCAGCTAACAGAGGTAGTTAGGTCAAAAGACGTGGGGGACCTGAACTTTCCAGACATCTGCTGGGAAGAGCAGTGAGCCAGGTCTGACCGCTCACATAAGTCCCTAGCCAAGATACAGGACCTCCATCTAACTCAGGAGGTGCGCAGCCCAACAAAGGGAGACGCCTTGTTGGACCTGGTGCTGG